CATTCATCTAGATGAACTATTCCAGAACTTAAACCAAAACAGACACATTTCTGGTGAGAAAGAAGGAAGAAGGAAGTGGAAAAAGGCCCTTCTAGCCTAGCATTTGAACGGACTGCTCATTCTGCAGTGTAAAAAATATTTTGTTAAAAAAATTTCAGCCTTTGAGTTCTTCATCTTTCTTGGTTACAAGTAAATGTTGAGAGTTTTGGTTCTATAACCATTTATGAATTAGGCTGCAAAAATTTTCTAAAAGCATCAATGACCAATTGTTGAAGGCTATTGCTTTAGAAATCTGAGATCACCTCAATATTCACAGATATTGATTCACTGATACAGTGCCACAAAATTAAGTTCACTTGAATACTCTGCAGGGAAACTACCGTCTTATCTGACAATATAGGGAGATGCAAATGTTTTCCGACATGGGTTGCCCACCTCATGAAGATGAGATATAGGCAGACAAAACAATTGCTTGAAAAGACACTGCAGATTAGTCAGTATCCCCTTCTTCATGATTAGGACAAAAAAGTGATAGTGTATTTTGATGAAGCATTGCATTATACATTAGGTGAAGAGGGTGGAAACCTCCAAACTTGCTAACAACAAAATAATGAACTACTGGAATAAGTTGACAGGGACAACTGAGAAACCGTACCACATTCAGCAACTGCAGGCAGAACCAAAAATGATGTAGGTTTAGCTTCACTGTGGAATAGGAATGAAATATATCCAATACAATACCTTTTTTCTAAATCGCCATTTAAAAAAAAAAAAACACCACCTTTTCACAAAACTGAGATTTTCTTTTTAATCTTACCAGGTTCTTAAGAAATAAAAATTTCAGCCTTTAGCCAGCTTCAGCAATCTTGAAATATTTTCACCAGTTTATATTACAATTCTTTATCTACAGATAAAAACTGATTTCTCTTTTCTACATAGGCTTCTTGTATTCTCCCTCAATGCCATTCCTCATGTTTAAAAAGTAGGCAGAAGCACAAATATCTATGCATAGCCAATGCCAGCTGTGTGCAGCCATTTTTTCAGCCAAAGCACTCATCCATACCGCTTATTTCATTGGTTTAAAAAGCATAGTTTTTCATATTAATAACTTTACAGGCATAATAGCTGCCATTTAAAAAGTAGTCGTGCAACATCAGGGCGCAGATACTTGAATATAAATACATTTCTAACATCAAATGTAATACTTCAGGCTGCAAATTGAGTATTGACAAAAAAAAAAAAACAAACAGCACCAAACCTCAAACCATCAACAGTTTTGTAACTGTTTTGCACTCTGGAATTGTACTTTATAAATCAGTGATTTCTGTATCTATCCGATCATCACTGGAGTAGGTTTGCTCTTAACAGTTAAGGTTAAAGTTTCTCAGTCTATATTACTTTCCAGAACTCAATCTTCATTACTTCAACTTCAAAATAACGCTTGTGAAGAAGATATTGCACGACCAATTCTTGGATTTTGTTATTGAAGTTAAAAATAACAATGTTTTCAGCACCTATATGAAGTGCAAAATTTTGACTAAAGGGTAACTTCAGGTGGAGTTTTAAATACAACTAAACACAAAAATGTATGCCTTTGGAAGAAAACAGCAAAATAAAATAAAATATGCTTTGCTCTCATTTACAACTAAGAGCAAAGAAGAATGAAGGGATGAAACTGAGAAGCAACAACTTGGATGAGGGAAAATAAGAAATAAGTATACTGTTTGTATTGCATCAGATAAACTCAGAAAAAAAAAACAACACTCCTTTCCAGAGATTTGGGTAATTTCTTGGAAGGTGCCCAGCTACTTGAAAGATAAAACCGAACAGACAAAACCATGATTCTACAATCACGTGATTTTGCTGCACTCAACAATAAGTCAAGGGAAAGGACCAGCTCTGAGCTCATTCCATTGTATATTCGGAGGAAGGGAAGGGAAGGGAAGGGAAGGGAAGGGAAGGGAAGGGAAGGGAAGGGAAGGGAAGGGAAGGGAAGGGAAGGGAAGGGAAGGGAAGGGAAGGGAAGGGAAGGGAAGGGAAGGGAAGGGAAGGGAAGGGAAGGGAAGGGAAGGGAAGGGAAGAAAATCACAGCAGCCATATTCATATTCTTTTATATGGATGCCCTCTTGTATTCTTGTGTTTGCCTGAGCTGGCTTTGAATACTGCAATGATACAGATGTCACAGCTTCCCCAGGGAGCCAGGGCTTTATGGCAGCTACAGACAAATGCACTTACATTATAAATTTTTGTACACAACCCTGACAACTTCTGATTTACAATTAAGTCTCGACCTGTTCACTATCTCTGGAGCAAAGACTTCCAGTGATTTTGGCAATTGGTATGCTAAGGAGTATTCTGGCATATCCAAATCCTCACTATCAGGTATCAGTGAGGATGCCAACCAACTTCTCCAGAAAATAGCATTCCTGTCGTCAGCTAGTGCTTTCACAAAAAATCCTGGGTACCAGTAAAAAATACAGAAATCAGAGAAAGAGTCATACTCATGCAGCTTTTGTAATATCTATGTGTACACAGATAAGTGTAACTGAAATTATAATTTACTCTGTACTGATACTCTGAAACAAATGTTCATTGCCGAAAAAATAGCAGAAATCCTCCCAGCTGAACTGGGGACAAACTAATTCCATTTATCCTTAACCTCTCACACTGGATCAAATTTCAATGGAGAATGAAATTTGCGAAGAACTAATGCAGTATCCCATCAAGAATTTAAAGGATGAAGCTATACAAAGAAAGAGCAATTTCAAGCAAGTCCTTCCTACTTTTAAAACATTTTTCATATTCATTTCACTATTAATATTCATGTCTTATTGATAGGAACATGAGTTGGCAGTATAGAGACATTTCTATCAGTGTGAAAGGTAGAATGAACTGTACTACAGAATAATCTACCAAGTTCATGGTTGTCTGAACTTGCATTAATGTCAATTACAGTCACTTTAATAGCGCCACAGAAGACAACAATTTATTATATCCATCTGCTTCATTTCTTTTCCATCAGTAAAGTCTGGGTAAGCAGACAACTTCTGACTAAGGAAACACCAGTTATGTGGGCAAAAACATATACGCATGTGTTATTTTTTTGCCAGGTGATACTGGCAACAATAACAAAGGTCACTTCAAAACATGCAGCTCTGGTTCACATCTGTAGACAGAGTTCATATGGTTACTGGGCATTCTTTACACAGTACCAAGTAGGCAGAAGGGGACCAACCATCGTGTGATCACGGAAAGGGCATTATTAGGGTTCACTAATTAGTGGTACCAAAGACCTACTTCTCCTGAGGAATTTATGTCCATAGGGAGTTCAGGTAAAACGCTTTTGGGGATATTCTTCATGTTGTTCATTTACAGGCTGAATGAGGAAACTTCTCATATTCTGCAGCAGTACACAGCTCACAGATATATGGCTTTCACAAACACCATGCAGTGTTAGATGCGGAAATCTATGGGTCAAAAGACAAAAACCCAAAAACAGTTGTTGTGGTGGTTCGAAGGTACAGTGAAAAAGCCCAAAGTAAGATTTTTGCCTGCAATCAGCCTAAGAAAATATTTCCTAAGCTTTTGGATACAGGCTGCTGTTCCACTTCATTGTGAATGATGAGGCTAGTAAATCCCTAGTACTTTCAGCAAAGTAGAATTACACATATAATTAATTCATACATTTAAAGAAAAAATATCTGAAGAGCTCGTATCTCATTCTCACAGGATCATCCTTATCCAATAACATCAGAATAGAAGAAAACATCATTCTGCACTCTGCAGAGGGAAACACACCTGCAACACCTAATGGATATTTACTGGCACAGTCATTTGCAGTCAGTGTAAAACTACTATACATTGAGTCTTCTAATCAAGAATGCATACATACTTTAGTTCTTCAACCTTTATGCTGTTATTTATTTCTTTCCCTAGTTTTATTTGGAAAACATGTGTCAATTAATCAGGATTAAGACCACCCACTCACATTCATACTGTGAGAAAATAAAATGTGAAACATCACCCTTTATAGATACAGACAAATTTGACTAATATTCAGAGCCTCCAAACACCACTTGACACAGAGGTAGTAGCACTTTTGCTCTTCTTAAAGACTCTACTACAAATATTTTAATAAAGAGCCTTCAAAAGCCCACAGAAGCTTTTCAGACTTACCCTTTGATAGATGCTAAGAACTAGTTAGCAAACAGTGGGAACCTAAACACTTCTCCCTCTTTCCTAGTGACACTCAAGTATTTATAGCTATCACCAACTTCCGTGAAACTGTTCTGTACAAGTTTCCTAAAAAGAAAAAAAAAAATTATAAGCAAACATATGCATACAAGGGGTGTGTGAGTGCAATGAAATGATTAAGCTGCCCTTTGGAGACTTAGGGTGATTAGAAACTAGCAGTTTCCCCAGAGAAGCTTCTGCCATTTAATGCAATGTTACCCACTCTAACAGCTTGCTTTTTCCTCTTGAGAATTCACTTTGTGAATCCCCAGGAAAGAGTCTGTCTCTAGCACTGATTTCTGATCTGCAGACACACATGCAAGGATGATAAACCAGAGGCTCAGAAATTATCCCAACCTTCCTTTCTGTTAGGTGTAACCAGGAAATGTCCCTCTCCCCAACAATCTCATGTACAATTTTGTGCTTCCCAACATTCTATTTTGTTTTTTCCCCTCTGATGCCAAAATTACTGCCCTTCTCCTTGGCTTCCCACTCTCAGATAATCAGACTATAAAACTGGTGCAAGAAACCATGCACTGCTTTCCACACAGCCACAAGATAGGCTTCCTTTACTGAATATGTTCCGTGTACAGCCTGCAAGCCAGTCTCCAAATGAGAGAGATGACAATGTAATTGCAGAAATGCTGGGAAGTTCCTTTGAGCACAGACTGAAAAAGGGCAGGAGTAAGGAGGCTCTAAAATCAGAGAGTATCACGTATTAAAAGTAACTTCTCGGTGGCGCGTTGAGAGGCTGAGCACCAGACAGAAAGAGAGCACGCAGCCACATGGTATATTCCTGCCTCTGCCTCTCTCCTCTCTCTTTTGGTCGTTCTCTTCGGCTTTCTCTCCCACCTCCTCTCCCCGCGCTGCCTTCCCCTCTCCCCCTGCCGCAGGCTGCAGAATGGGACACGCTTGCTCCCCAGCCAGCCAGCAGCTGTCACACAGCGGAGGCAGCCAGCAGCCGGTGCAAAGAGTGAGCCTACTCTGTCATTTAGGATGACTCACTGGAATCTGGCATTAATTTCTCTTTTTCTGTTAGTGGACGGAGAACAACCAAAAAGCTACACTGGTCTAGACCAAGGTAAGAGATTTAAAAGTCTTTTTTACCCTAAAGTCACCCAACGGTTTCAGGGTGCAAATCTGTGTACAAAATCTGGCACTGGAACTAATTCAGTGGGTGTCTGAACACCTGGCATTACATGCCACCAGAGTGCCTTTCTTTTGTTAACCCTGTGTGTTCCACCCAGCTATGCCTGGAGGAGAGATGGCAGGTCAAAATAGAGCATAGGCACTGTGTTTCCTCCCCTTAATGCAACTTTTACAGCAGCACTACCACCTGCTCCTGTGAACACAATAAGCTTCTCAATACTGCTAAATGATCAGGCATTTGTATTCTGCTGCTGGGAATATAGTGTATCAGGCGTCTGTCATGGTCACCGTATGGATTCGTTCCCATGGCAGTTGTTTTATCACTTTAATGAGCTGAAATTCCAGAGTCCACAGAAACGTTTCCCTGTCATTTCCCCTCCCTCTGAGGGATTCTTGTAGGATCAAATACATACAATCCATTTTCAGGCTTTTCAAAAGTAGTGCTCACTGAAACCACCAGAACAAGTCTGCTGAAGCACAGAGAGCACTGCACTACATATTCTGTCTATATTCTTCTCTGTGGTTTTTCTTCTGTAAATCAAAAATTCAGTGTTGCAGGAAGGTTTTTGCAAGGACAGCACATGTCTCTGGCACAGGAATTTAAAGTAAAGGGGAAAGCTTCTTCTCCCATTTCTGAAATCCTGGCAAAATTCCCTTCTTCCATTTTCTGAACAGGTACAGTATTTAAAGCAGTGTTACCTAAGCAGGTTTCTGTTGGGGTTGATTGACAGTTTTTAGTAGTGATTTTAATGAAAAGCTTTACTGAACATCTACAGCTTCATTTCTGTCAATCCAATGCTTTTTACCAAATGGCTTACTTCCAAGGGTGACACCTTTAAAATTAACTCAGCATTGTGCTTTTCCCAATCTATGAACAGAATATCAGAGTAGGTAGTGCACACTGCAGAATTGTACAATCGTACCTTTAGATCTTTAATGGTCTAACTGCAGTGAAGACATTTGGTTTAGTTTACATGTTCTCTGTACTGTGGAAAGTGTTGCAATTGTAAATGGATGAACATACATTTGTTACACATTATATGGTATTTTTCTGCAATATCTTACACGTTTATTTGTTCAGACCTCTTGTATACTGGCAATCAGTTTATTGACTTTTAAATCCACAACGAACTGCCTGACATTAGTGCTATGAAAAGGAATCTCTACTCAATGAAGATGACGGGTCCCACATTGATCACATCTAGAGAGATGACCAAACAGGTATCAGCAGTTGGCGCTGACCACTGTTCAGCTGCCAGATAGTCACCAAGACCCACAGTCTATTGATCCAGCATGAATATTTTTGGAATGAACTCAAAGACAGAAGTAATAAGCACTCCCCTTAGTTATTGCCCCTCCATGCAATCTTCTAATTAGATGAGGGGAAAACAGATTCTTATTTCAGAGAACTTAAATGAATTTGGTATGGATCTTGAGGAGGTAAGACAATGGCTTAAAGTGTCAGCACAGATTCTAGCTCATTTTCCACCAGAATATGGTACATTTTTTCACTCTACAAGACTGGAAAGCATTTACCAGCATTATGTTTTAAGATTATTTCTAATAATTTGGACAACTGTAGAGACTTCAGCATTTTTGGGATTTGCTTTTGTTTTTTATTATTATTGCTATTTTTTAATTTTTTTTCTTACCATTTAGATATGATACCTGACAGCAAGGGTACCTACTGTAGCACGTGTCATAGTCTCTGGGGTCTGAACAGCTATTTTTTAACCTGTCTGGAATACAAAATGATTCTGTTCACAAGTTGGGATTTTTTGTTTTATTTTCCTCTTTTCAGAGAAATCTGTATATTATCAGTTTTCATCAGCATGGCTCTTTTCAGGTGAAATCTTCAGCTGTTTAAATGCAGACAATCTATTGTGATAACATTTCATTGTAACTTGGCAACAAGAGCTAAAAAAAATCAACTTACATCCATCTTGTATGCAATCCTTGTATTGTGCTGCCCCATACTCAGCAAATTAAACCCTTGAGATAAATTACATTCTAGACCAGTCAGTTTAATATCATTAGCTGGGCTGACCGGTTGTCCTAATTACAGAAGTCAAAGACTGCAGGAAGCAGCTGCAAAGTCAGCACATGTGCAAGGAGCTATTTGAAAAGCAGAAACACATGCTTTAATTTGAGGCTTTTTTGTTACAACATGAATTATTAAGGAAAACTATGGCATTCAATATCACTGTCAAAAAATGGCCTGGCTATGATGGGATTACCACTGGCCTTTCTGTAAAGCTTCATTTCTGGTGTAATACTTTCACTGAAATAAGCAAACATTCACTTCCAATGTTATTTAGCTATGATCAGGCTTTTGGGTCATTTACTGGTGAGGTGGGAGGACAGCAAGAGGGAAATTAGCCATGCTGCTGGAGAGCAGCTTGAAAATTCTATCTAGTGTCCTGCCTACCTTACTCAAAATACAGAATCCACCATCAACGTAACTACATGTTCAAGGCGTATAACATACATAGCTGCTACACTGGAATCAGCAGGAAAAATCCCCAAGACACAGAGATGCTCAACTCTGGAGCTTTGATTGTGCCATAAAAGATTAAATCAGACACAAGCCACCTAACTGGAGTCAGGCGGCTGCTGTGATGGGTGGCCAGGGATTCCCTCAGCTCTGAGTTTCACATCCCTCTTGGAATTTCACCTCCACTAACTGAAGTCAAGAGAAGCAGAAGTTTTGCTGAGGTTAGTTAAATGGATCTAGTCTTATAACTGATTTCATTCAGAAAAGATGAAGGTTCAGTGAAGTTCTTCAAATCAAAAAATCACCTTAAATAGAATCTGCTTCACTTCACTCCTCATTTATTTCTGTAAATATAATTTGAAAGTAAATCCCCATCCAAAGATGAAGAGCTCTAAAAAATCAACAACGTTTTCACACAACGGGAACATACCAGCTCTTGATAACAACCTCTAGAAAGGTATCAAAATTCACCCCAACCACTCAATAAACCATAATCTCCTGCACATAGGCATGCAAAGATGGGCAAGAACCACAGTTAGATTCTTTCATGGTTCAATATTAATGTCACTCTTACTCAACTGTAACTCTATTCATTACACACTAAACTGAGTCAAGATTACATCTTCCTCCTCCTCCTCACCATGTAGTACTTTGTTAAAAGGTAAACACACAGTACATACAGGTAATATTTAGAACAGTTCTATTAATCATCATTAAAACAGCATTTTACATTAAACTGTACACAGACACTAGTTTTAGAGGAGGGGACACTTCCTACACTTGTATTGCTTTCGAGGAACTTCCTGTAACATAGCCTCACCAAGATTACATCTAATCTTAGCCCAAGATCAAGAATGTTCATAGGGAAGAAAATAAGGCACGTATGGTCACCAAAATACACATGGAAGCATTTTTCTTTCCTCAGAATAAAGTAATGTTAGTTTCAAACATTATGTAGATTAGGGATGAAGGAATTTGTTGGAGAGGTACTATTGCTTTATTTACCTTCAATTTCTGTATTCCTCAACAAACTTGACCACAGCAATGTCACATTTTCAGTCCAATAGAATTTGAACTTTTGACCACCCACACCAGTGAAGAGTACAACCAACTGAACCATAAAGGAGCATGTAAGATATGTGCAGTGTATCTTTGGATACATGTGTGAAAGTGTTGCCAGAACCTAATATAAACACAAGGTACTATACCCATTTCAATCACAGCCAAGTTTTAACAGACTCTTCCTTAAAATAATGTCAGCAATTTTCAGTTTCTATTGAATTATTTTGTTAGGACTAATTCCTTTTCCATTATAATCTGTGTTATTTATTTATTTATTCCAAGTAGTGCTCTCTTGTTTTCTCCCAGATAAAACACAGATGGTACAGCTTTCGAGCCACCATTTTAATTCTTTCTTGCTCAAACAAAGTAATAACAATATTGTGTTCACCACAAATTAGCTTTTTCCATACTTTTGAGCTTTGTCATAGAATTTGCACTTGTGAAAACTGATGTCTTTCAACAAATGAAACAACAGAAAACACATTTTTTTCTTCTTGTTTGTTTCATTAACGTGAAAAGTCTTTTCACTCAGCATCAGCTTACTTGTTTTCCTTTGACTGTAATTCAAATTTCCAAAATGATGAAAGTATGATATGTGTGTGTTCTCTTTATTTTTTGAGGCCACTTCATTATGGAGTTATTGGCTAGTTTAGGTATACTGTGTTAAAGACAATCTGTACGAGTAAACTAACAGCTCAAAGGGAAGCAGTTTTAAGGGCCGAGTACATTCCCTAGAGCGGTTCCAGTAGGTTATGCACCTGAAATTAATCTTAGACATAATCTGAATTTTTGGCTATACTCAACAAGCTCTATGCAGCTTTTCCTTCCTATTTCTCCCTGTGTCTTTACCAGCCTTGTTGTATTAACATGTGTAGTTGAGAACAATGTTCTTATTTCTGAGGACACCAGCAATGTTGGGTAACATTTAGCGAAGTATGTATCATCTAAGTGATTTGTAGGTTACACAGAGGACAATACAATGACCCACTGGGTGAAGCCACTGGAGTAAAAGCCATCCAGGAGTAGGTTATACTAAGAAAATTACTGAGATTGTTGATTTATAAGTAAGCTTTGAGCTGTAGCCACAAACTACTTGAAACCATAGCAAAGTACCTATTTGCATATTGCAGAAATACCGTAATTTTTAGGGGCAAGCCCAATGCATCAAGCTGTACAAGGGCACAAGGGCGTACATAAACAAAGTGTGTTGCGGAAATGGGAAATAAAGATACATAACCCTCTGTTACAGACTTCTTTCCATCTTTTACAATAAGAAGACTCAAGTTTTTTCTCTAGGTCCTAAGCAGTTCAAGTACTATCAATCACGAAATTCAAAAAGATAAAACAATCAAAAATCATATGAATGTGTGTGCTGT